TCCCTCCCTCCCTTCATTCCACCTACCCGTTTTGTTTCCTGCCTTCTTCCTTCCTTTCAATTCTTTTTTGTTTTAATCCTAAAACAATTCATTTCTTGTTTAATATTGTTTAATGTTATTCAAAGGTTCTCTAGCTCCCGTTCAACGAGACGAAGGGGCACCAGCAGACACCGAATATTTCCTTCTTTTACATAATTAATTAACGACTATTTACTTCAATTTCTTCACCAAACACAACCCAATTAGGTGGGAGCAGTTAGCTTTTACGGCATTATATCTATAATAACTATCCGGGTAATAAAATTAATCTTGCAACAAAATGCCCAGCCAACTTGTATTTTTACGAGTTAACGTGAATCGTTTTTAGCAAAGTAGAGATAAATATATTTTCGGTACTGACAACGAAAATATATCTATTTTTACTTTGCTAAAAACGATTCACGTTAACTCGTAAAAATACAAGTTGGCTGGGCTGTTTGTTGCAAGATTATTTTTGCCAGTGAAAGCAAGTGTTCAGTCATGTGTTCAATTCCCACCTGGAATCAGATTTTGTTCTGATTTTTTTTCTTTCATCTTTCATCATTCAATTATTCATTATCATATGTAAGTCTAATATTCATTCTCACTCGGAAAGCCAGATCTTTCGCGGCTATTCATCTAGGCCTTAAAAGATGTATCATAATTAACTCCGATTGTACTGCTTACCCTCCACTCCCTGGAGATTTTTACGAGCCATCCGACAAGGACAAAAAAATCGCATATAAAATGTTAGGAAACCAAAGACAAATTCTGTTGTTTAATTTATTCGGTTGACTCACTTGAATAGGAAGGACGAACATATAAGAACAGGAAATTATTTTCTCGGAAACGGAAGAAAATAAGCGTTTAACAGGCATAAAATAAAAGCCACCGTGACTTTGTTAGACCCCTCGTTATCCAACAAAGAACACACTTGGCATCAAATTAGTTTCCATAGCAACAGAGTCTTCTCGAAATCGATACTCAACAAGAACCACCGATTTCGGCAGGACGTTCAAAAATGATGTTATACGATCCTTAAACGATAACATCGTGTTGGGATATTTCCCAAAATGGTGCTTCCATTTCACAGGCAGCCATTGCTGCACAAAAGGTACGCGAATCTTGACTTACCAGTCAATGAGAAGGTATCGAAGTCGCCAGTACAAGAGACCGATGTCAAGGGAGACGAGTACGCTAACTTCTTAAAGTGAGTACAATAATATTTACGTCTTTTAATGCCTGAAAAGCAGCAAAGAAAGGTTAATATAGATTGGGCTATGCATCAAATGGTTAATATGTGCTAAATAAAGGCGTGAGGATTGGTTTAGTGATATAATATGAGTGTTTTGTTTGGAAGCGAATCGGAACTTTGTTGAGCATTTCTGGGTATCAAGTCCCAAACCTGCATTTACTAATCTATGAACGATTGCTGTATTTCCCCTACCAGTGATTACAATATTAAAATCAAAATTATATATGACTTCACGAAGTCTAAGTAAACATGTTAAAAAGCCATATCTATTGAATTAATTTTTGCCTTTTGATGCACCAAATATTCACATAATACAATTGAAACATCCTTGCATCCTTAACTATGTGTGACCCTATTTTCCTAGGGTCTTTTTCAGATAGCAGTTATCCAAGAATCTGATACAATTAAAAATTGATTTAAATTTGGTAAAAATATTTTTTAGTCAAAATGTATTGAGTATTAATAATTTATCTGCAACTGCTTCTGATTGTTTACTTTTTATTGAATAATCTAATAAGTGTTACAATTATTTATTTTTTGTTTATTTTCTTTTAGATCCTTATCCAATGGGGATAGGCAGGATGATACGGTTACAAAGTAAGCTTACAAGCCAGAATATTATGCATGCTATATATATACTAGTTATACAATCCTTTCGAGTGGCAATTACCATTGAATATTCCATGCATCACTAATTGTATCATGTGTACATACGACCCTTTGGACAAGTGTATATACAAAGAAATACGGTAGGACAAGTGGGATATTCAATGGCGTGCCATGATAAATAACAACTAAGAGCTCAGTGTATGATGGCAAGGAAGACTGGAATACCGACAAATATATGACAGCTTTTCTGCATTCTGATTCGCTGTATTTTCTATGTTGTGTGATAAATAACAGTAGGTAATTATGGGACTTTAATTGAGGATTTTTGCTAATTAAGCCTTACACACAACTTTCAACAATCTAATCATTTTCCCCCTTTTAACAGACCAAAGATTTCCACCCAGCCAATCAGCAGTGGTAAAGCAAACCAAACCAAAGCACCAAGTTTATTTCTACGTCCAGGAAGCTCCAAGACGGATGGTTTGCTCCATGTAACGCTCAGAGCACAACAGAATGAGAAGGATCATAGGAAGAGAATGAGAGTAGTTGAGGTAAAAAATCAAATATTCACCATTTTCAGCAATTCCAATTTCTTTCCAATACTATGTCTATGTTTTGCCTATTTGTCACAATATGTTGTTAACAAAAAAACAAGTTATATGTATAAAATATTGGATGTAATGTCAACTAAAAACACTGAATGATTCCCTTTTTAAAGGATTTTATGTTAAACCACTTGGCATGCAATATTGTCTTAAGTAAATATCATTAAAACTTATACAAAGTTTTAAAAACTATATTAAAATTTATCCTAAAATAACCAGAACAAGTTTAGGGTTCAAATGTCATTTTTTTATGCAGCTCAAAAATTTTAACTTTGTTACATGTTATTATTATTATAAATAGGATGTTATGCTTCAACACAAACAAGAAGAAAGAGAGCTCAAAAGAAGTGAGGGTGATATCATCAAAAAACAGCAACATCTGCGTCGAATCATGCTGGATTATGAGAATAGTAAGTTCATACATGTAACACTCTTGACTATTAATAGGCATTCGAAGGATTTTTAAATTTTTTATTCTATTTTTATTTAACCATGTTGAATCACATAATATTAACCTCAAGAACAAAAACTTATTGAGGGAGTCTACATCTATTTACACATGAAACTAAAATAAATGGAGTACATAGGTCAATGAAAAAAGAATAGAGGATGATGAAGTTAAATTAAATTATGACTAAGAAAAGTGTTTAGAGTCTATTATATCTTCTTAGGGTAAAGTTAGAAAGGTTTTATCAATTGATTCACCCATCAAGTACTATAATTAATGAAATAAATATGACTTTGTATGATATTTTCATCCAGATATTTATAAAAAGAAAAGAGGAGAAGAAAAGAAGTTGAGTGATAATAACACAGAGATAGAAAAGATCAAGCAGCAGCATGCTATCCAGGAGGACAGGGTAGGGGCATACTCTACTTCTACATTTATATGACCTTTTTTTTTCAAGGAGTTTTCCGATTCCTAAAATTCTAATTCAGTCATTCACTCATGGAATGAGGGCCATAGGTTTATTGATTTAATTTATTTATTTAATATTTATTTATATTTTATTTTGCAATGTTTATTTTTTATTTCTTCAACAGTCTACTAAAGTCAGGATTGAACGAAACCTTTCAGCAGGATTAAAGATGAGGGACAAGGAGAGAAAATCCTTTCTATTCTTGTAAGATATTTTAGTACTGTTCATAAGGGATTGTTTATTTTATGTCCAGGGGCAGTAGTTGTCTGTCTGTGGAAGATTGATATATCAATATAATATAGTAGTTGTCTGTCTGTGGACGATTGATATATCAATATAATATATGTCTTCAATTCTTCTATTGCACATTATGTTATCGCAGCCTCTCGGGGGAGAGTTGGTGCCATTTAACAAAAGATTTCTCATTAGCATCCATTGTTAATGTAGCCTGCGTTCAGCCAGTATAATTTCTCTTGAGAGAAATTATACGGGCTAAATGCAGGCCATTGTTAATGGCACCAAAATGGCCTCCATGTTTTTATGATGAAGAAGGAAGTATTGAAGGGGATGGGGGATGGGGGGTGATGATATATAAAATTCGCCACCCCTATACATTCTCCTCCTTGTGCAACATAATAAATAATCCCACGTTGACTAACTAATACCTTACTAAACGCCCTGACAAACAGTCCCAACATTTGACCAAACATAAATGTTGTGTCAAAGGTTGAGTCAAATTTGGCTAAATGTTGTGCTAAATGTTGCGTCAAAGGTAAATTTGTTGTTTCAAATGTTGGCTCAAATTTTCGTTTGTCAGGGCCTAGTTTAAACTACAAACTTGAATTTTACACATTTGGATTACTAGTTCAAGTGCTTTTAAAAGGATAAATAGATAATATTAAGTAGCACTACACGTCACACGTAAAAAGTAAAAGAGCTGTGAGCTAAGTCCGGGGTATTTAAAGCTTACCTTCCATAAACTTGATAGTTTGTCCATAATTCCGAGTTCAAACGACTTTGTTCTATAAACCATCCAACACAGAAGATAACAATCCGATAAGTATAGCTTATTTATTAAACTAAACAGCTTATGGTGAGGTTTTTTTTAAAATAAAATAATATACAAACACGTCGAGCAAACTCACGATTTGAAAGATTTGAAGAAAGGCGGGAAAATAACCGCTGACCACAATGACCGATGACGTTCAACTCGCTTCCGTGTAGCAACGAGATTTTTATGGGAGTGGGGCTGAGGGGCAGATGCTACCAAAAAAAGGGTACGAATGCTGAAAGCAAGGAAAAAATTTTGCCACTCCACTACTTTTAAGCTTGCATGCTCCGCGGTTCTTGGGGTTGAACAGTTAATAGATTCTACACTAGGTGTAATGCGTTTAATTTTGTTTTGTAGAACCTCGACTGAATTTGATTACTACAAAGTTGCCAAGCAATTGGAGTTGACGAGGAATGAAGTGAAGAGGCTGACTACTGAATATGAAGCTAATTTGAAGCGAAAGGAGGTAATTCATTGGCTACTAACCGGATTTCTTAGCATAGATTTGTTAATAATGGAACGCGCGGGATGCGGAACGCCCTGGAACTGAGGCCTGGGATTTGAAGCTCTGGGCTAAGCATAGTGGAGGAGCGGAGGTTCTGGAATGCTGGTGGCTGAAGAAGAATTTCCTCTTTGAGGGCATGTCAATGGATATTGTAAACATCTCGCTAAAACAAGGACCGCCGACCACCCTAAAAAGTAGGGGGGGGGGGGGAGGAGGGAGGGGGGCTTAGATTGGGAAATATAAGAGACTAGTATGGGAAAAGATGTTACTGCGCACTAAAACCTTCCCCTTTCGTTTGCGAAAAACTTCCCTGGAAATTATAACATTTGTCGTTTCACTCGTATCCAGGGCCCTACTTATTCCACGGAAAACTATAACCTACGTTTTGGCTAATTGAAATAGGGCCTGTGTTAGAGTGTTAGTTTTAATCACAAGAACGCTCTTAATCTAATGTATTAGGAGGAGGAGTTCAAACTGAAGAAAAAGATGGCTGAGCTGTCTATTGGTGTAAACATGGAGGCACAGAAGAAGAGAACACTACAAGTGGAGGAACAGAAGTATGTAAATAAATGAAATGAATAAATGAATAAGTAAATGAATAAACGAGCAAATGAATATGGAGGAACACTGGAACGAAAGAAGAAATTGATTAATAATGTACATAGAAAAACTGAGAAGAAGAAAAGAAGGAAGGAAGGAAGGAAGGAAGGAAGGGAAAAAAAGATTCATTAACCTCTCTTTAAAAGTATGTTACTGCATTCTTTAAATGTTTTATGAAATGTCTTTATAAGACTTTGCGAGACCTTTTTAATTTCCCCTTTTAAAGATTTTCGAATTTTTTTAAACAGTTCTGTATTTTTTATTTAGTTATGACAAAGATACTGCGAAAAAGGATGTATACGTAAGTACGATAAACTGAGTCTTATTGTTATTCTTTTGAAATTAGCGTATAGTGTTTTCTTATTCGCCCCATTGATGATTATTTCTTTCTTTACTGATAACTCTGAGGAGGTATACTTTCGAAAATTATGAATTTAATATTTGCAAAAGAGGCGACGGAGGTGACAACAAAAAAATAAACAATAAGTAAAAGCTTATCCAAAAAAAATAAATAAATAAATAAATAAATAAACAAAACAAAATAACAACAACAACGAAAAAAACAAAAACAAAAACAACAAAAAAACAAAAAAAAACCAGAGCATTTCAGTAAAGTCAAATAAATTCAGTAATGATAATTCTCTGTGCTCAAGTTGTCACAAAACGATTACGATTTTTTTTTCTTGGAAAAGGATGAAAGACGAAGAAAAGGCAATCTGGAAGAACGTATTAAGTAAGTATGAAAAAATCTCGGCACTTGTCGGCTAACATCGTCGCGTTGCAAGTTGCAGAGTTCGTATTACACTCTACGCACAATAAATTTGCATTGACACAAAGAATAGTGAGAGTTTCTACTTCGCGCAAAGTTGCGCGACTTTGTTACCCGTATTACCGTACCTTGATAGAGCCAATGCCCGCGGGAGAGACCACAAACCCTGAGCTGCTTCTATTGCACAGGAGTGTGCCCCTGCGATGTACCCGCCTGGCCAGGACATTTCATCGGTCTATACGACAACTTTTGAACGTTTGAATAAACCTAGCGCATACACTAAGATGCACCACTGAAAAAGCTAATAGTCTTCACCCAAAACGCAGGCTTTAAAAAAATATAGCCAACGTGAAGGAGTTTGAAAAAGGAGACCATTTGTTTTATTATGGACAACTCAAAATAAAGCCTATAAAACGCATCCCTTATGCGATACGTTTGTGGCTATACGCTTTAGTTGCTTATTTCCAATTTTATTAGTATCAAGACACATTAAAACGCATAAAAAGTATACTTTTTGTTAATCCGAAACGGATGATTTCTAAAAACCTTTCATTGTCATGGTTACAGGCATACCGAGAACCAAGGGTTACGGCACGAGTTCACTAAGAGAAAGCTGAGTCGAGATCTGTATGCCAACAAAGAGTCCTTGTCACTCAAGAACAGAGAAGGTTTGTGATTGGTTCATTGTGATTGGCATATGTCGTTGCAGTCGTTCCTCAGTAGCATGCGCGGAATCGTACGATTTGTCGTCGTGATAAAAATTGGACTTTTTGGTCGAGTCCAAAAACGCAATGTTTTCAAGTTCACGTACCTATGACATGATATGGAAATGCCTTGCTTGGTGTCCTTGAAAATCTACTTCGTTACGACGACATTTTCGTGCATGACATTGAGAAAAACTGTAAAGAAAAGATCTCAGAACTGTTTTGCCTTTTGTGTCATAAGAAACTCTCCATTCCGCCTGGAGCTTGGAATTATTTTCCGAGAAACATTTGCTTGAAGAAACACAGCTAACATCTTCGATTTATTGTTATCGTTACAGAGGGGCGCAAGATGACTGACGTCAACAGGCGTCTGCAACACAATTCTACCAGTCAGCGGCAGGCCAAGTTGGCAGCCGAATACTTAGAATTGGATCGACAAGGCAAAGAAATCGAAGAAAGAGGACAGGTACATATTCATATTAGATCACCTCGCTTCCCATTAGAATATTACGCATTCCTTTTTCAGAGAAATGATATAACAAAAGAAACTACCATGAAAATAAAGTCTATGTTAAATTGTCTTTTTTGTTGTGTTGTGTTGTTAGTTTGCCGAAGCTCGTCGTAGTCAACTTTTAGAACAAGCCACGCGAGACAAGAAACACCAGTACAACCAAAACATCGCAGAATGGAAGAAAAGATACCTGGATAAAGAAAATGAAGCGAAAAGAAAATGCCACGAAGATGGGATTAAACATCTACAGGTTCGTTGTCATGGTGACGATGACCACTTTTAACTTGGTCGTCAGGGTGATTAGGGATTAGAGTTGCTATGGATATTATTTCCCTCTGCAGATTAGTACGGTAGCTTGGAATTCATTGAAATAAAAAAGTGGTTTATATGAATGTAGCATGCCTCTAAATGCTAGGGCTAACTCTTGGGAAAGAAGAGACACAAACGACTTATCCCATGCTTCAGATTCATCTACCGACAGGGCTGAAAACCGTGTGCGCATGCGGCAAATTCTCTACAACAAAAACATGGTGGACACGGTTTTCAGCCCTGTTTCAACTACCATCACGTAAACAGGCTCAAATTGTAACCTACTGTGCGTTGAAAGCTTGACCAGTTGTTTTGTTCTCTAAACAGAAAATAGTCTCCAAGTTGGAAGAGAGTGAGCATGCGCTGTACAACCGATTGCGTGCCGCTGAGATGCAGCGACGTAAACAGGAACAAGTTGTGACGAGAATGATGAACGACCTGGGTTCTCTGAAAAGAGAAAACGCCAAAAAAATCAAGGTACTCAATTCTAAGACCAGTCAAAGAAGAGGAGAGGAGCGAGGCATATTTGCAGCAAAAGCAGTAATGGCAGTTACGTGAGAGTTGCAGCCCGCATTTTACAACAATGAGGATCTATTTGTTTTACTAATATTAATATCCCCATGAGTTTTGCGCCCAAGCACGAGCATTGAGGATGGTACCTTGGGCCAGCATCCTCAGTAGGTCTTTAACATCCGCTTTATAATGGGGGTTATCAGCTAAGAGTGATGATGCCAATATTTATATGATGACATACTGCTATTTGTTTTCCAGGATGCCATGGTACAATGTCAGAAGAAAGAAGTTGAAATTGAGCAGAAGCTGCTCCGAGAACGAGCAGAGCTTGATAAGGTATGTTTTTTTTTCAAAACCTTCAAATAGTCACTCTACTCACAAGTGATACCAAGTCTAGCAATCAAACCCGTGAACCCAGAAGAGTGAATGCACTACAGAACCATTCCGGCGAAGTTCTCTAATCTGTCCCGCGATGGTCTTGAGTGAGTTACATTATCTCTCGAATAGTTTTCTAAATATTTACGTATTATATTTTGATGTAATTAACAGCTCCACAGTCAAAGAGAAGAGACGATTAAAATGTTAAATCATCAGAGAAGTTGTCTTCAGGAAGACAAGTATTTGCTCAACGAGGAGGAGCGAGTAAGTTGAAAATTTAAGCTACGACCTTCAAAAATGTTCAGAAATTTTTAGTAATTCTAATAGATATTTTCATGTGAAACATCCCTAAACAATATTGATGGGCTGGAAGCATTCCCAAGAGAGTTAAAAGACAAAAACATGGCGGCCATTGTGGTGCCGTTAACAATGGATGCTAATGAGAAATCTTTTGTTAAATGGCACCAACATGGCCGCGATGACGTAACGTTCAATTAAAGAATTTTTTCAAGGGGGGGGGGGTACGGCCAATTAAAAAAAAATATTTTGGGTTACCGTTAATGTGCGTTAGCGTGCAAGATGCCAAATACGACTTATTTACTACTTACTTACTTACTGAGGGAATTTGTACTATTAAAAAACATTCTCAACTAAAGTATTTTTGGTCCAAGATTGTAACTCAACTGTAAGTACCAGCCATTATAGCTGACTGCATGCAGTCTCATTGAACCTTATTCACTATTCTTTACAGGAACATAATAGAATAGCAAGAATTGGTCAGAGAACTGACGATATTGAACAAGAAGCAAGATCTTAACGACAAAATGGCCGCATTGAGATCTGGCCAACAAGAATACCAAATAGAACATAATACAATAGTGTGTTGAATCAATGCAGTGAATTTACCTGAAAAAGCGTGATAGGATGTGTGTGTGTGCTACAGCGTAGTTATAAAAAACAACTACCATATTGCAATTCCTAATGATATTTTTTATTTTTTTCATTTTTTCAAGTTCTTGTACACTTTTGTTTTTCACTATTAAATTTTGTAATTATTGCTTTGAACAATTTATGGGTTGCAAGCATTCCCAAGAGAGTCAAAAGACAAAAGCACGGCGGCCATTGTGGTGCCTTTAACGGTGGTGGCTAATGAGATATCTTTTAATAAAAGGCACCAACATGGCCGCGATGACGTAACTGCAATCAACGAACATATTGTTTCCTATTTTTAAAAGTTGTCTTTTAACCATTTCCCTACCTACATGTTCAAGATTAGAGCACAGCTTTAAAGAGTGAAAAAAAAAAAAAAAAAAAAAAAAAAAAAGCAAAAAAAAAAAAAAAAAAAAAAAAAACGCGCATAAGAAAAGTGCCAGAAAAAATTCCAAATTATGTCCCCAAAAAATTCCTGCACAGTCATGAGGCGTAAAAAAAATTCCTGCACAAAATAAATTGCCCAATCCCCTGAAAAATCTTCCTAATGGTACGTCCCTAAGACATTGCAGTTCTCAATATATGACAATACGTAAAAATTTCCGCTGGTATTGTAGGGAATTTTTCCATGTGAATATTGAATATGGCAAGTTTTGGATGGAATGTACATGGATGCTTAATTGAGCATGGAACGAAGTATTTGCCCTTTGTACGCTGGTAATGGATTCATTTAGTGGAATAATATTTCTTGAAAAAACGCGAGAATTTGAATGTCAATATATTTCCGCACAAAGCAAAGAGCACGAATGAATTTAAATACCGTGCACTGATTGGTTGCTTAAGTCATTTGTACTTTGCCTAGGAGTATCATTTTCAGTTCAAACGCCGGGCCTCGTTGAACGAGCATGGTACAGAAGAGGTGAAGAAGAGCTCTGAACTTTAAAACAAGATTCCGAGAAAATGGCTACCGTTGGCCGGTTGTTGGGGACCTTGCTAATTTTCTTGCTAGCTGACCGCATATTTGGGAGTAAGTATTTACCTTTCCAGAGTAGTTTTTAAAAGTTAGCTGCATAACCGGCTTGCGTTCAGCCAGTATAATTTCTCTCGAAAGCAATTATACCGGCTGCACGCAGGCTACATAAAGGTGTCCACAGCAAAATCCTTCCAAGATGGCAGTACTTAGTGCTGCCTATGTTTCAACGAGAACCTCAGTTTTTACTCAACTACGTAAAGCCATGCAATAATTTTTCGATTTTCGATTTAATCGATCTGTGCACGTGTAAAGTACATTACATTATATTGCATGTATCTTTTTGCCTCGGCTGAKTTTGATATACACTCAATTGAAGAATCGTTGTCGGGTTCAGAAACACAGAACATAGAAGCTGAGACCGAAATGGCACATGGGAAGTACGTTAATTAGATGCATGCTGTGACCGGCGACCCGTGGCATCATCCACTGTTTTTAATACGTGTTTGGCATTCTAAACCGACTAGGTGGATGGCACAAATGAATAAATTATAATATAATTATGTCATTTCCCATGTGCCATTTCTGTCTCAGATTCTATGTTTCTGAACCCGACAACGATTCTTCAATTGAGTGTATCTTATTGCTTTGAAGGAGGAATTTAATTCACACGATAGAGTGATTTTCATAAACCCGAGAAACAGATATCATTAGGTAAAAAACAGTGTGTAATAGCGAAATGACAACAAAAGAACACAATGGAATTAGGATCTTTTACTTTGTATTACGCTAGTGTGTATTTCGTATAGGAAATCGCACGATATCGAGTACAATTCGGAACATCACGAGTATCTATGAATTTCGAAATGTACTAGAAGTTTGTACGATATTTTGTTTATAATTCACTCAACAAAATTGAGCAATATGATTGGGACTCTACAAAGTACAATTTGGGATTTAATTGTACTCCTCTTGTCCAATCAGAATCGAGTAATTTTGTCGAGTGTATTATAAACGGGTTTATGAAAACCACTCATCATTTCATCACGTATAGAGAAGAGTTTATGTGCGCACAATCCAAAACCTTTTTACGTATTTTTGAGAGTAGTGAATATTTAAATACTCCCACAGAGTGCTTGGGCTCACTTCTGAGAGGTTCGTAAACAAAAGCAGATTAATAACAAAAAAGCAATTCCTGGATTCGAGGCCATGCCCGCATACACTGGGCTTTTAAAGGTCGTCAATATGGATATATTTCTAACAAAGAAAGGAATAATCAAGAGAATCATACATTGGTTGATACGGGAATACATAAAGCCCAAAGTTATTAAATGCGATAGCGCGATTTATTTTTTTGTAAGGCTTTACCACAGGTAGATCAACGTCAAATAAAAATAACAAAAAGCGCTCACAGAAGTAATTAGCTGAGGAGACTAAGAAGTAATGCGCACAAATGTTTTAAAGTATTCAAGGCTATGTGATATCTAAACTCAAAGCCTGAATATTCTGCTACTGTATTGCTAATTCTATAGATTTATAGCTCGTACACGGTACGACATGCCGTTACATTAAAATGGCTTCTTATAAGAATGGTTATCCTATGAGTGAAAAACATACGGTACTGACTTATACGTACACGGTAAGAAATAACATTGAAATGACTTCCCATAAGAATGGTTTCGTATCGGCTGGAAACATACGGTATTGACTTACAGCATGTACATGGTACGGCATACCGTCACATTAAAATGGCTTTCCATTAATTGTCTTCCAGAAATTCATCCAATCATAAAGCGTAGTTTTGTTTACTGTAAGATACGGTTATAGGGCTAAAAAATGACTACAGATTAACCGCATCGTTTTCCACTCGTACGAAAAACACTCTATATACACTGTATATCTACTAATGAACAATAAATTTAAATCATTTGTTGCAGAATCATGTAGCAGTGCGCCACTGGGACTTGAAAGTGGAAAGATGCTGGACGGTCAAATACAGGCTTCTTCAGCTCTCGACTCAAATTATTTGGCTGTGCGTAGTCGGCTCAATACACAAAGAGACGGGAGTTTAGGTGGTGGATGGTCTCCTCCTGCTAATAAAAACCTGATAGAAAATAGTTGGATACAAGTGGATTTTCTACAACCAACTATTGTTACTCACATTGGAACACAAGGACGAGCAGATTTGAACGAATATGTTACGAAGTATGCCGTACAATTTGGTTTTGATGTACATAATTTAATCGACTTTGAGAATGGCAAGATATTTGATGGAAATATTGATCAAAATACTGTTAAGACCAATTTTCTTGAAATACCGATCATAACGCGGTATATCAGGGTTATTCCAAAGGAGTTCTATGGCCATGTTACAATGAGATGGGAGCTTTATGGATGTGTTGCAGGTAATATAAATCGCATATGAATATAGTGGGTTGCACACTACCAGTAGGACAAAGCTTGTGATTGAAGAAGGAAGGAAGGAAGGAAGGAAGGAAGGAAGNCAACAACAACAACGACAACAATAATAATAACAGTAGCAACAGCAACAGCAACAACAACAGCAGCAACAACGACAATAACAGCAACAACAACAACGACAACAATAATAATAACAGTAGCAGCAGCGGCGACAAGAACGAAACCAAACCTGTTAATCTGGTCAAAGTCAAAGTCTTTATTTTAGCTAACACATGTAAATACGTCATCATCATCATCATCCCTCTTCACATCAAAAGGCACAATTCTATTTTCACAGATAGGGTCCTTGCCGAACCCCCAACCTCAAGGACCAGTGGATCACTCTTTTTCTGGTCTCTACCCTTCGACCTGTTCAGCATTGGTGATCTTAACCAGACTCCAGTCAACAAGGGTTAAGGACAAGGGTTAGGACTTGACTGTAGGTCGTACTATTAAATAATCACTAGTTTCTCACCCTCATAGTTGCAATAATGATTCTTATGACCTTCTCTTTCTCTGACTCCCTCAGAATGTCTGCTAACACTGGAATCACCGCATTGTTCCTAGAAATATACGGCATATGTATGCATTAAGAAGATGGTCTACAGAATAATGATGATGTTGATGATGATTATGGTGATGATAGCGATGATGACATGGCGATATTGATGATAATGAGAATGATGATAATGGTGATGATGGTGATGAGGATGACGATGATGGTGATGATAGCGATGATGACATTGCGATATTGATGATAATGAGGATGTTGATAATGATGATGGTAATGATGGTGATAAGGATTACGATAATGGTGACTATCTGTATTTTTTGTTTGACAGAAACCAAAAGCTAAGACATTCGAAACCACGTTGGTCTCATAATGACAAAAATAAATGTAAAAAGATTTTTTTGGCAAATGTGTGGTTCCAGAAAATTTCCATATCCCACAATGAAGGAACCTTGAATACATTTTCTTCCATATAAACGTTTTAATTCACTTTCTTCTGAACTCCCCTCCCATGGGAAATTACAATTTCCTCCATGGTGGGGTATGGAAATTTTCTGGAATTGTGCATTGAGGACTTACCCAACCATTCTCTCGGCAATTCTTGGATCAAAGGAGAGCAGCCACAAAATGAATATTAGCTGATATTGAAGCTGGAACCCAATGTTAATCCTCAACAATGTGGCTACAACACTTGATCAAAATACACAAGAAATAATCAGTATTAATCTACAGTAAGAGATAGAAAATGTGTGAGTGTGCTGTGTGTTTTAATGTCTAATATATGTAAACTGTCAAAAATTCAAGCATAATATTGGTTAAGACCAATCTTGTGATTTTGCTGATGATGTCAAACTGAGGTGGTTAATTATTGGCAATGTCAATTAAAATAAGTGTGGTATTGAAAGTTTAATTAGTGAGTTATAGAGGGCTTAAAATAAGGACCAGTCATCGAACAATGTCTGGTCAGATTGGAACTTGTCTGGTCAAATCTTTTCCTTGCTGGTCTTTTGTCAGTAATGTTGAGTCAGAAAGGAAGTATGACCGACTCGTAGCGGAACTGCTTCTCAACACTTCTCAAATGTTCTGCCAATACCTAAGTGCTTTAGAACTGGATACAAAATGTCAAAATAGAAAGAAAGTGTGTGGTGCATATTCTCAAAATGGATGTGCCCGCAACCAATTAGAAAGCAAGATTTATAACAGGCTTGACTAAAGATCTGAAGATGATTACCTGGTGATGCCCTCCATCTTGAAGAAGGCTTGTTTGTAAGACTCTATCCTCACCATCAGTTGTAGACACTGTGCAATACTATGAAGATACTCACATTCCTAGGAGAGGAAAAATGAAAAAAATAGTTGATTGAGTGAAGATGTGAGTAAGAGAGTTGGTCTGAGATTGAAAGAATAAGAAAATGAAAAAAAGAAATGACTGGCAAATGAATAAATGAGTGAGTAAATGAAGAAGTGAACAAATGGACAAATGAAGGTAGGGAAAGAGGCAGGGAAGCAGGGAGGTACATATGGAGAAAGGAAAGGAGATAGGAAGAAAGGAAGAAAGGAAGGAAAGAAGGAAGAAAGGAAGGAAAGAAGGAAGAAAGAAAGGAAGAATGCAAGGAAGAATGCAAGGAAGAATGCAAGGAAGAAGGCAAGGAAGAAAGGAAGAATATATATATATTATTTATTCTATCAGATTATAATCTTCATTTTAGTTGAAGTAGTATACCCAAAACATTTCAGCTAAAAAGTAATTTTGCATCCGTGAAAAATAGCACGACTAAGAATTATACAATGTAGTAGACAATAATTCCAATGCTTTCTTTTGTTTTGGTTTATGCTAGTCAATGCTTATTTACACTACGAGTTTTTCTTTTGTGCTGACATTGTTCACATATGAATATTATAAATGTCAAGTTTAGTAACCAACAAGACTGATCTGACTTATAACAGTAACGGCCGGGAGACATTATTGTTCACCTTATCAATTTAGAGTCAATTTCGTAATCGACGGCATGCATGGTATGAAACTGACGGTATGAAACTGACGGTATGACATGAATCAATCATGGTCATAGCCAAACAAAATGCTCGGATATAGGCGCCGTCACGATGTGGTATGCCCATAAAACGTTTCTCGGTCATGAGAACAGCGCTAGTCAATCTCGTACCCAGAACCTGCGCTTCTTCTGGCCAGCGGTGAAGACTCGTTCTTCGCCGCAGGCCAGAAGATATGCAGGCTCTGGATACGAGATTGGGCGCTAGTCCGACACGGCAAAATCGCGGTTATACGAAGCAGGAACCGTCGTACAACTTTAATAATTTTTTTTTTTTTGGACCGGTTTTAATCAAATTTTTTAACGTAAGGGTTTTATCAAGTTTTTGACAGTCGTTTGTAGTGTTTGGCTACCATTTGTAGCAGATAATGAGAGACGAAGAGACTTATATCAGTTCATTGAAACTCAGCAATACAAAATTTACTTTAACCAATATTTATTAATTTCTATTATATTAGACTTTCAGTGCAAGGTTAACGTACTTGGAATGAAAAGTAAAGCTATTTCAGACAGCAAGATTTCCTCGTCTACGGCACTCGGCGCTAACCATTCGGCTGTACGTAGCAGACTTGACACAACGGTGGATAATGCAGGGCTTGGTGCATGGATTCCCGATCCAACCGATCGAAACCCTTGGATTCAAGTGGAGTTAACAAAATTAAATAGAGTAACACGCATCGACACACAAGGACGTTCAGACGCGCCTGAGTGGGTTAAAACCTACAAGCTTGGGTTCGGCTTGTACAAAGAAAATACGACGTTCATCGATTATGAAAACGGCAAAGTATTTCCAGCGAATACCGACCACAATACTACTGTAACAAATGATCTTGATCCACCTTTAACAGCAAGATTTATCAGGCTTTATCCATTAACTTTTGAAGTATCACGGTCACTGAGATGGGAGCTGTATGGATGCGTACCAGGTAAAAAGACTATTTTCAATTTTTGGCCCCGTCTACAAATCCTATAGGGAGGAGCTCCGGGGTTATTGTTCAATCTACGAGGTGAATAGTTAGTTAGCTCTCGATATTATGATTGAGTGATCGCGAACAGTGCAAGAAGAAACAAGACCGTGCTGATTGAGGGAAAAATGAAGTTAGGATTTCCAAGATTTTTTTTTGGGGGGGGGGGAATTTTTTTTTATTGTCAGGCTCAAAACACAGAACACTGAAACTGAAACAAAAAGTGTATTCTTGTGATACATGTTACGTCATAGCCAACATATTGGTTGACGATAACAACGCATTCCTAATTTTATATTTTATAAATCCTTATATAATATCATTTCCCTGAATATCTTTCGGTCTCGGCTATGTTCTACATTTTTAACCCGACGATGATATTGAAAGTGAGTGTATACTAATTGGTTTCCAACGAATTTTCATAGAACCTTGTGACGACCCCCTTGGAATGCAAACTGGAATTATCCTTGACAAGAAGATAACAGCTTCATCGGCATTCAGCTCAAATACTTCAGCCTCACGTGGTCGTCTTGGTTTGATGATGCATGACTCCTTGGCTGGCGGTTGGAGAGCTGCGGAAAACGATAATTCGCCATGGATACAAATAGAACTATCCAGCGAGACAACAGTCACTCGTATCGCAGTACAAGGCAGATCGGATGTTTCTCAGTGGGTCAAAACTTATAGTCTACTATATGGCATACGTGATGGAAAGTTGCATGACTATAAAAATGGTACAGTATTCAATGCCAGCACTGATCAGAATAATGTTGTATCCAGTATTCTTGATCCACCAATTCTAGCAAGATATGTCAGACTTCTACCACAAACCTACCATGGTGCGGTTGCACTTAGAATGGAGCTGTACGGGTGTCTTCAAGGTAATTAAGACTATCTACGATTCTAAATATTTTCGGGTAACCATATGGGTAATTTGCATGCGCTGCTAATGCCACGCTTCTGACCCCTGTGATGGTGGGCTCACTCTCTTGAAGCATACCTAGGTTTAGTCTTCCTCGCAGGCGAAAGGTTGGTTTTCACTTGAGTCGCGATCGGATTCAGATTCTGAGTCGGAATCATACATAAACAGTTAATGCAATTGAAAATCGATCTTCATAGGCGGAATCGGAAGCAGAAGCCTCGATTTGTGCTTTTCTAACATCAAAGAGAGAGCCTGAAGAAAAAAATTCTGATTGGTTGTCTGCTCTGCGCGCTCCCGATATATTAGCTTTCATTTGTCGTAAACATCAGAATCGGAAGAAAGTAAAAAACCTGTTGATCCTACCGACTTGGCCGATCCCGGCGCAAGTGAAAACCAAGCTTAATCAAGTGGCTTGGATGATCACTTTAAATGGCGGTCCCGTCTCTCCACACTTCATCATTAACAACCAATATCGGAGGGACGTAAAAAAACCACTGAGGACGTAAAGAAACCCTGGCAGTGGACCACTTTCAGTGCCTAACCACCCCTCGTTCAAAAACTCATTGTGAAGCGCCTTTGAACATATGCATATGGTAAAAGAGCGCTTTATAAATAGATATCATTATTATTACTTAATAACGGAATTAATTAATTAATTTTTATTACTCGTGTCTTACCAGCGGCCATTCACACTAATATTTTCAAACTTATTCCTATCCTGATCTCAGAAGAGTCACCACTTCCACTGTAGGAGCTTGAAAATAGTTTAGTTATTCTAAAGGMCGGTTTAGACGGTACGATTTTTGCCTGCAACTATCGTATACAACACGCTCGCGCCATCCTACAACTCGAGTCGTAGCGTGTAAATCAAGCCTACAACTCGCCTTCGACAGACGCGAGCGTGTTGTATACGATAGTTGTAGGCGAAAATCGTACCGTCTAAATCGGCCTTAATGAGTCTTTCTTTTTTTGTTTGACTGTGTGAACTAGAATTTTGCGATCAGGCACTTGGAATGCAAAGTAGAGCCCTTCCAAATGAGTCCATAACTGCTTCTACAAGCCGTTCAAGTGGTTATGAACCCTTCTACGCCAGACTTGGTAACAGAGGAGAAGGCGTTAATCTTAATGGAGCGTGGGCTCCGTTGGAGATCGCCGTAAATACTAGTTGGATACAAGTTGATTTGCTCCAGCCAACTACAGTATCACGTATCGCTACACAAGGTCATCCAGATTTGGTCCAATGGGTGATGGACTATTCAATAGAGTACGGCACTATTGAGGGCAACCTGATGGAATATGAAAATAGATTGAATGAGAAAGTATTCAAAGGCAACACCGACCAGAATACCATCGTCTTTAATGTTCTTGATCCGCCTATCTTCGCTCGATACGTCAGGATTTTGCCAAAATCTTATCAAACATATGTTTCAATCAGGCTTGAGCTCTACGGAGGATGCGACAGTATAGGTAATAAAGTTGTTCCTGTCATTTAAAATTAGTGTCAAAAGAATCAGTGTACACAAGAGTACCAAAGCGTATCATACTTTTTCAAGAACATTAATATGGATGTTGGTGTTGGTATGTATGTTGTAATTATATGTTAGTATAGGTGTTGGTATGGGAGCTGGTATGGGGGAGTGGGTGTTGGTATGGTAGTTGGTGTTGGTATGGGTGTTAATATGTGGGTGTTGGTATATGGGTGTTGGTATGTGGGTGTTGGTATGTGGGTGTTGGTAT